GACACCACATAAAAGAAAACTACAGACCAATATACCTGTTCAACATAGACGGAAAAATACTCCACAAAATATTAGCAAACCAAATTGAAAAATCTATCAAAAAGATCATCCACCATGATCAAGTAGGATTTATTCCAGGGTTGAAAGGATGGTACAATGTTAGAAAATCCATCAACATCATCCACCACATCAACAAAAAGAGAGACAAAAACCACATGATTATCTGCATAGATGCTGAAAAAGCATTCGACAAAATTTAACATCCATTCATGATAAAAACTCTCAATAAATGGGTATCAAGGGCAAGTACCTCAACATAATAAAGGCCATATATGACAAACCCACAGGCAACAGCATACTTAACAGCGAAAAACTGAAAGCATTTCCTTTAAGATTGGGAAGAAGACAAGGACGCCCACTCTCTCCACTTTTATTCAACAAAGTTTTGGAGGTCTTTGCTACAGAAATCAGACAACACAAAGAAATGAAGCACATCCAGATTGGTAAATAAGAAGTTAAACTGTCACTGTTTGCAGACTACATGATATTGTCCATAAAAAAACCCTAAAGAATCCACTCCAGAACTACTAAATCTAATATCTGAATTCAGCAAAGTTGCAGGATACAAAATTAATATGTGGAAATCTGTTGCATTCCTATACACTAATGATGAACTAGCAGAAAGAGAAATCAGGAAAACAATTCCATTAACAATTGCATCAAAAAGAATAAAATACCTAGGAATAAACCTAAAAAAGGAAGTGAAAGTCCTATACTCTGAAAAGACACTCATGAGAGAAATTAAAGAAGATACCAATAAATGGAACACATCCCTTGCTCATGGACAGGAAGAATTAATATTGTCAAAATGGCCATCCTGCCTAAAGCATTCTACAGATTCAATGCAATTCCTATCAAAATACCAACAGCATTCTTCAACAAACAAGAGCAAATATTTCTAAAATTCATATGGAAGCACTAAAGACCCTGAGTAGTCAAAACAATCCTGAGAAGGAATAATACAGCTGGGGGGATTACACTCCCCAATTTCAAGCTCTACTACAAGTAATCAAGACAATTTGGTACCGGCACAAGAACAGAATAGACCAATGGAACAGACTAGAGAGCTCAGGTATAAACCCAACCATATATGGTCAATTAATATATGATAAAGGAGCCATGGCCGTACACAATGGGGAAATGACAGCCTTTTCAACAACTGGTATTGGCAAAACTGGACAGCTACATGCAAGAGAATGAAATGGCATTATTGTTTAAGCCCATACACAAAAGTAAACTCAAAATGGATCAAAGACCTGAGTGTAAGTCATGAAGCCACAAAACTCTTAGAAGACCACATAGGCAAAGATCTCCTGAATACAAACATAAGCAACTTCTTCCTCGAGCAAGAGAAACAAAAGCAAAAACAAGCACATGGGACTACATCAAACTAAAAAGCTTCTGTATGGCAAAGGACACCATCAACAGAACAAAAAGGCATCCTACGGTATGGGAGAATATATTTGTAAGCAACATATCTGAGAAGGAGTTAAAATCCAAAATACATAAAGAATTCACATGCCTCAACACCCAAAAAGCAAATAACCCAATAAAAAATGGGTGGAGGATATGAAGAGACAGTTCTCCAAAGAAGAACTTTACATGGTCAACAGGCACATGAAAAGATGCTCCACGTCACTAATTATCAGGGAAATGCAAATAAAAGCCACAATGAGATATCACCTCACACCAGTTAGGATGGCCAACATCAAAAAGACTAACAACAACAAATGTTGGTGAGGATGTGAAGAAAGGGAAACCCTCCTACCTTGCTGGTGGGAATGTAAGCTAGTTAAACCATGTGGAAAGCAATATGGAGGTTCCTCAAAATACTAAAAATAGAAATATTATTTGAAATGGGAATTCCACTCCTAGAAATTTACCCGAAGAATACAAGTTCTCAGATTCAAAAAGACATAGGCACCATGTTTATCACAGCACTATTTACAATAGCCAAGATATAGAAGGAACCTAAGTGTCCATTGGTAGATGAAAGGATAAAGAAGATGTGGTACATATACACAATGGAATACTATGTAGCCATAAGAAAGAAACAAATCCTACCATTTGCAACAACATGGATGGAACTGGAGGATATTATGTTCAGTGAAGTAAGCCAGGTGGAGAAAGACAAGTGCCAAAGGATTTCCTTCATTTGTGGAGTATAACAACAAAGCAAAACTGAAGGAACAAAACAGCAGCAAACTCACAAGACTCCAAGAAGGGACTAGTGTTACCAAAGGGGAGGGGTGTTGGAGGGCTAGTGGGGAGGGAGGGACAAGGGGATTGAGGGGTATTGTTTAGTACACATGGTGTGGGGGGTCTTGGGGAAGACAGTGTAGCACAGAGAAGGCAAATAGTGAATCTGTGGCTTGTTACTATACTGACGGACAGTGACTGCAATGGGGTATGTAGGGACCCAATAATATGGGTGAATGTAGTACCCACATTGTTTTTTCATGTGAAACTTTGTAAGAGTATATATCAATAATACCTTAATAAAAAAAAAGTTTGATGATTGTAGTAATTATTATCTGTATTCATTATATACTGTGCATTAGCTCAGGTCTTTATGGCTTATTTACTACTCATTGCATAGGTTAATCATCTTTGAATCTTCCTTTTCGTTACTCTGATATGTATCTTATCCTGTTAAACTACCTTTGCCTTGTCTTCCATCAATCCTTCCGTTATTCTTCCTCACCATGACTACAAGTGTCAATTACATACCCAACCTCTATATTCATACTACAGATGACCAGTACTTTCCAAAAACACTGTTCATGTCACCTGCCTAAAAATCTTCAGTAACCATCCTCTTGATGACAAGATAACTCCTGATTTCTGAGCAGAATATTCAAGGTACGTTAGAATTTGACTCACCCAATTTTAACTTCCCACTACTTCTCTAACCCAACTGTCCACTGTTCACTGCCCCCTCCTGAAGTTACCTAGCACTTCAACATCCCTTGTATATTTTTATTCATGTTATTCTAACCTGAAAGATTCTTCCAGTTTGTTATTTTAAGTCTATATTCTATCATCCAAGATCCAGGTCAAATTCCATCTCTATAAAAAAAGACTGGCAAAAATCTCAAACACTGGTAAAGTCCCAAGTTCTGATTGTCTATAAAATTAATTTAAAACTTAACACTTACTTCTCCCTATTTATCTTTCTATTACAGAGATTCGGTAGGTCCTGCTAGATCAAAAGCTCCTCTCAGATTCTAGCACAGTCTAGCATATGATGTATGTCTATTATATACAAACCGTATCATGAAATATGCAGTTTTCCATTTTTCTCCAATGTGTGCTCACAAGAGGGCACATTAATATATGCCTTGGCCCAGATGTTCTTTTATATACTTCTTACAGGAAAGAAAAAAATCCCTGTACATTCATCTTTACTATCTTCATCTCAAATGAAAATTTTGATAATAGTTACATAATTGGAGAAATCTGAGTATGGGTTAGATAACACCAAATAATTATTAGTAATATTGTTATATGTGATACAGCATTATAGTTATATAAGAAAATGTACATTATTTAGAAATGCACATGGAAGTATATACGAGTGAAATAAAATTAAGACCATGATTTCTTTAAAATGGAAGGAAGGAAGGAAGGAAGGAAGGAAGGAAGGAAGGAAGGAAGGAAGGAAGGAAGGAAGGAAGGAAGGAAGGAAGGAAGGAAGGAAGGAAAGGAGGGAAAGAGAAAAAGCAACAAAGAATCAAAAAGAGAGGAGAGAGGAGAGGAAGGAAAACAAAAGGGATGGATGAAGCTACTGTGGCACAAAGATAAAAATGATTGATAATGTGAGTCTGGGTGACTGGAAATTTATTATACAGTTCTCTCAAATTTTATGTATGTTTGAAATTTTTCATGATTAACATTTTTTAAAATAAAAAAGCCATTAGACTGACCTGAGCTCAATATTAAGTCAGCAGTAATCTACTATCATAATAATAGATAATAAACTGTCATACTCTTTGCTGTTAAAATAAAAAGTAAAACAGTGATGAATATATTGCAATAGTTTATAAATTACTAATAATGACAAACTGTCTTCCTTTTAAGAATTAGGAAAACTGTGAGCAAAGACACTATCTATTTTGCTTACTAGCATGCTATTTTGCTTAATTTAGAAAAGTATAGACACATAGTATATGCTCAATAAATATTTGCAAAATGAATAGTTTTAGATTAAATATACCATGATATTGAGAATAATTACTCAGACACAGATGTTAACTAATTCACTACTATAGAGCCCTATGTTAAATGTTAAATGCTATCTGATTAAATTGAACTGTATCAAGGTATGGGTATGATTAGAATCAAGAAAAGATAAAAATTTATCATTTTTGCATTTATGTTTATTTTGCTGCAGTCATTTTCTGACCACTTTGACTTTTATGGAATGCTCACTGTCAGAATAAACTCTATAAAAAAGGATTCTTTGATATTAAGGAGATTTAGTGATATTTTTCTCTTTGAACAAATTTAATCACCTCTTGATTGAAGAGTACATCCTTGATACAATTGTAATATCCACCTGATTTCAAATGTCAGAATATGGAAATAAACAACCCAGAAACTGTAAACTTTTAAGCAAACTCATTAAAATAGTCTTTCACTTAAGTCTGCTTAGAAAAATAAAGACAGGAAATTGGTTGTTTTGATGATAAAAAATTTTGAGTTACTCATATATAAGGCAACTTTTCCCACCCACATTCCTTCAAAAGTTAAAGTGACATGATGCAAAACCAGTACGAGTCTAGTTAGCTTTCTCATTAGTTCAGTCAAAAAATGCATTATATGAGAATAAAAGTGAATACTTCCAAGTGAAAATCCATGTAGAATAAAAATCTATGTCCTGTTTCAAGCAGTACAATTCAAAATTAATTTAAAAGGTATCTTAAGTGAAATCCACAAACCTTCAGCAATCATGTCTTCCATTTCTGTGTCAGATGAATTATCTGCATGCTTTGTATTATTCTGTAACTCTGGCTGAACACACACAGAATTTATCACCTGATTATCCAAAAGAGGCCTTTTTTTCACAGGCTGTTCTATCAGCAAAGATGAACGACTCACCTTTAAAAGAGAGAACAGAATGATAGTGAAAAAATGGAAACCTTAAGTGTCAAACAATGATGGAAGGATTACATAAATTATGGTTGGCCATAAAGTGAAATATTTTGAAGACTTTCAGGAATAACATGGTTAAAACAAACCTCTTGAAATGAATGGTATCTGTAATAATTTACTTGTTCAACTCATCAGATCCATTCATTAAATGCATTATCCCTTGAGAAAAGGTTTGGCAATATGGACATTAACACTTTGTATTTCAAGCCAACAGCAGTATAGATGCTTCAAAGTCTCTGTCAAATGGGACCTGGTTCAGGCATATACTTTTTAAAAAGTTTAAAAAGAAAACAGTAATAAATTTTGATTAGCCAGTATCCTTAATTTATTTTTTTCTACAAAAAAAAGATTTTTCATTTATAAAAAAAGCTTTTTACCCTGTCAGGTTATCTCCTCAACATAGATCATTGCGGTATATATTTTTAAAATAAAGGAATGAATGTTCAAAGAGTTTAGGTGATTTCCTTATAGAAAGTGGAATCAAGGGTTTCACTCAAATCTCTTTTGACTCTTATTTCAGCAACCTAATCCACTATAATGATAAAAAGAAATGGAAAAACCCTCAAATATTAACATTAAAATCAACAACTTATTTTAGAAGTACTTTCAGCAAAACAATCTGGACCAAAAACTGATTTACTGGTGAACACTCAGCAAATCTTAAAAAATAGAACCTCTTAATCTATTTGAGAACATTGGTTAAGTCTCCAAATTCCACCACACCTGGTGAACAATAGCTTATTGGAAATTTTTATATTTAACCTCAAAGAATAATCACCGATGAAGTTTAAATTTTGTTCACTTCCACTTAGTATATTTAATATGCCTCAAGTAAAATTTATGCAAGTTATTGCTGAAAAAACTATAATATTCAGTGCTGCTAAGAGTATGTGTGTGTGTGTGTGTATATATATACACACACACACACACACACACACATACATACTTCTGGTATATGAATAAATTAAAATAAACTTTCCAGAAAATAATCTGGCAATATATATCAAGAATCTTATGAATATATATGTAATATAATCTAATACCTGCACTTCTGGGAATTTATGCTAAAGAAATTATTTAAAATGTGGATAATTTATATATAAAGACGTTCCTTTCAGGATTATTTGTGTTACTTATTTGTTTGTTTGTTTATTTTTAAATTGAAATACAGTGGATATATAATCTTATATTGGTTTCAAGTATATAACACAAGTGGTTCGACAGTTACCTACATTATTGAATCTTTACCCCAACTTATGTTTTTCAGGACTATTTGGGTAGTGAAAAAATGGAAACCTAAAGTGTCAATGATGGAAGGATTACATAAATTATGGTTGGCCATAAAGTCAAATATTAATCATCTAAGAAAATAGATGCTCAAAATATATACTAAGTGAAAAAGAACTGTATATATTATAATAATCATGTTCATATGAGAATATATAATATACACATTGTGGTATTACTGGGAATTATTTGTTCTGAATATTTCCCAAATTTTCCATTTAAAAAATAATATGTACTACTTTTATAATCTGAAAAACAAGTTATAATTATCACTCGAAATAATTGATAGTTAACAGCTATGGCTATTAAGTGCCAGACACTTAACAGAAACATCTGTACACATTTAATCCTCACAACAACCCTAAGAGCAAAGTATCATCTCCATTTCCTGGATGAGCAAAACGAAGGTCAAAAAAAAAAGGTTACGTGACTTGACAAAAGTTACACAGTCAGTATACAGCGGAGTCAGAGTATCCAAATGCTCAGAAGAGACTGTTCCCCCACTGGCTATACCAGAATTCTTATAGGGGATCCAAATACACACACAGTAAACCAAAAACAAAGGCCAACTGATTAGGCAACCAACTATCACAGCCCAAGACGTTAACTACCCATGAATCTGAAAAATCAGATGATTCAAAGGCCTTCAAAATAAATTACTCTGTTTTGTTGGCTTTGATTTTGGCCTCTTGGCTTTGATTTATTTTCTAAGGAAAAAATGTTCATCTCTAAATATTAGTATATAAATTATGTACGTTCAGTCCCAAATTATAATTTTCAGTGATAGATCCACTTTGAGGTGAACATTTTAAAAGGTGAAGACTGAAGTTTAAGAATAATGGGAAAATCTATTTGCTTATTATAAACCATCAATTGGGCAACTTAAGTATTAGGTCATTGGGAGGTAATTTCCTAATACTCAAGTTAAAGTTCACAAAGTACCACATTATACAAGGAACACCATTTGACAAAATAGTATACTTCAGGTATCATTTCAGTCCCCTTAAAAAAAAAATGGAAAAGTTTATTTCACTGAGTAAACTTCCAACTACCCTGCTCTAAAAATTTTTAAACTGATATCCTTATATCCTGAGATTTTTCTCCCTACTTTATACATCTATATAGCTAGCATAAAATTTCATATGTATATTTAGAAATAAAGGATATATAGAGATAAATTCTAGATAAAAGATTGATACCTTAGCTTTATATTAAGAGAACATTAACAGACTGAAACTTTTTAAATTATGCTACAAGTATAATTTAAAAAATACAAATGTGCTTGCTACTTACAGGAAATGGCTCCAATCCTTCCTGAATCACAAAGCCTTCAATAACATGGGTTAAAATCTGTGGTTTAACAATAGCCTGTGGAGGTTTGTTTTCTATATTGGGAATGCTACTGGGCATAGATGTACTACTACTCCTTGTGGTAGCAGCTGGTAGTAGGAGTGGAGGTGGAGGAACAGAAACATGTGAAGGATCAGATGGAGATTTAATTACTGAAGCACTGACTGATGCCACAGCAGGTAAATCCACTTGCTCTGGAAAAAAAAAAAAGGAATTTTTTTTTTTACCTTTAGCATTCTGCCCAGGCAAATAGTTATTATCTGGTACTTTAAAAACTTTGTAAGTGTTTTAGTTTTATTCTAAGAACTTTATGTTTATTATCCCATTTAATCTGCACAATTAACCTTATGAGACAGTAACTATTATCCCCATTTTTCCTGAGAAGGGAGTAATAACTTGCTCAAAGTTATCATTCCAACCTTGGTTAAAAAAGAACTGTCTGATAAGACATGAAAATGTTTACAATGTCAATTTAAGAATAATTACTAAAAGTACTCCATTTTGAAAAAGTTTTAAGATTTACAGGTATTAAATTCCCTCTTTGTTTATATATTTCAAATGGTATTGGGGGAAAAAGTGCTTTTAAAGTATAGTTAAATAAAAAAAAAATGGAATCCACAGAATAAGTAGAGATTTTAATCAATCACATAAGCCATCACCTTATTTCACACAGTAAGGCTAAATCAAATCCACACATTTTTTTTTAAAAACAACTAACTCTTCAGTGGCACTGTAACATCAGTTTGAAGGAACACTAGTGTTCCAGGGCCTGTTGTACCAGGCAACCACAAAATGTTGGGCTGGATCGCTGTGTTTCTCCCCTTCAAACTCTGAGGACCACAATAAGATAGATCCAACAGTCTATATACAGCCTATGATGGAGACTTTACCCACCCATTTGATTGTACCAAACCTTTACTGTCTGTAAAGGAATATTATTGAGTAGATGTGTAGGAATATTATATGACAGATGTCTGAGAAAAATAACCAAAAAAGAGCATGTGTGTAAGATTAATATTACTGCTTACTGAGCACTTACATGCCAGGTACTGTGTAAATGCATTACATACTGTAACTCAATTAATCCTCAAAACCAGCCTATGGGTAGGTATTGTTATTATCTCCATTTTTATAGATGTGGAAACCAAAAGACAGAAAGATAAAGAAACTTGCCTAAAAGGACACAGCTAATAAGTAATGAAGTTGGGATACATACTAACCCAGGGAGTCAGGTTCAGGAGACAGTGCTCTTAACTGCTATGGTAACTCCTTTCCACCATCAGTATGAAAAGGATTGATACCACTATCAAAGATGCTCAAAATATCACTCAGTTAGATAGAGAACAAAGAATAGGAATCCCTAAAGAATAAAAATTTCACCATCAAAAGGATCATACACCATGACCAAGTGGGATTCATCCCAGGGATGCAAGGATGGTATAACATTAGAAAATCCATCAACATCATCCACCACATAAACAAAAAGAAAAACAAAAACCACATGATCATCTCCATAGATGCTGAAAAAGCATTCGACAAAATTCAACATCCATGCATGATAAAAACTCTCAACAAAATGGGCATAGAAAGCAAGTACCTCAACATAATAAAGGCCATATATGATAAACCCACAGCTAACATCATACTGAACAGCAAGAGGCGGAAAGCTTTTCCTCTGAGATCGGGAACAAGACAGGGATGCCCACTCTCCCCACTGTTATTCAACATAGTACTCGAGGTCCTAGCCATGGCAATCAGACAAAACAAAGAAATAGAAGGAATCCAGATTGGTAAAGAAGAAGTCAAACTGTCACTATTTGCAGATGACATGATAGTGTACATAAAAAACCCTAAAGACTCCATTCCAAAACTACTAGAACTAATACCGGAATTCAGCAAAGTTGCAGGATACAAAATTAACAGAATCTGTGGCTTTCCTGTACACTAACAATGAACCAATAGAAAGAGAAATCAGGAAAACAATAACATTCACAACTGCATCAAAAAGAATAAAATACCTAGGAATAAACCTAACCCTGAAAACTATAAGACACTCTTAAGAGAAATTAAAGAGGACACTAAGAAATGGAAACTCATCCCATGCTCCTGGATAGGAAGAATTAATATCGTCAAAATGGCCATCCTGCTCAAAACAATATACAGATTCGATGCAATCCCTATCAAATCACCAACAGCATTCTTCAATGAACTGGAACAAATAGTTCAAATATTCATATGGACACACCAAAGGCCCCGAACAGCCAAAGCAATCCTGAGAAGGAAGAATAAGGTGGGGGGGGATCTCGCTCCCCAACTTCCAGCTCTACTACAAAGCCACAGTAATCAGGACAATGGGGTACTGGCACAAGAACAGAGTCACAGACCAGTGGAACAGAACAGACTGCAGACATTAACCCAAACATATATGGTCAATTAATATTTGATAAAGGAGCCATGGACATACAATGGCAAAATGACAGTCTCTTCAACAGATGGTGCTGGCAAAACTGGACAGCTACATGTAGGAGAATGAAACTGGACCATTGTCTAACCCCATATACAAAGGTAAACTCAAAATGGATCAAAGACCTGAATGTAAGTCACGAAACCATTAAACTCTTGGAAAAAAACATAGGCAAAAACCTCTTAGACATAAACATGAGTGATCTCTTCTTGAACATATCTCCCCGGGCAAGGAAAACAACAGCAAAAATGAGCAAGTGGGACTACATTAAGCTGAAAAGCTTCTGTACAGCGAAAGACACCATCAATAGAACAAAAAGGAACCCTACAGTATGGGAGAATATATTTGAAAATGACAGATCTGATAAAGGCTTGACGTCCAGAATATATAAAGAGCTCACACGCCTCAACAAACAAAAAACAAATAACCCAATTAAAAAATGGGCAGAGGAACTGAACAGACAGTTCTCCAAAAAAGAAATACAGATGGCCAAGAGACACATGAAAAGATGCTCCACATCGCTAATTATCAGAGAAATGCAAATTAAAACTACAATGAGGTATCACCTCACACCAGTAAGGATAGCTGCCATCCAAAAGACAAACAACAACAAATGTTGGCGAGGCTGTGGAGAAAGGGGAACCCTCCTACACTGCTGGTGGGAATGTAAATTAGTTCAACCATTGTGGAAAGCAGTATGGAGGTGCATCAAAATGCTCAAAACAGACCTACCATTTGACCCAGGAATTCCACTCCTAGGAATTTACCCTAAGAACGCAGCAATCAAGTTTGAGAAAGACAGATGCAC